TTCATTGCAAAAAGCATTTGTTAGATTGAATTGTCGAGAGAAGTAAGTAGAGAGGTTTTTCTACAAAAATCCTATTATACTATTTAATTACAATAATATTTAGAATTCATGTAGAATACACAAGAAACATACCTAATTTAATAAGTTTGTCTAAAAAAGTTTTTTTTACTAATATTTATATATTAAAGTATATAGTTGTTGTTTTTTAAAAAATATGTTAATTAAAGTTCTTGCATACCAATTTCAAACTTGATGAGATACTAATTTCTATTGACAAACAAGACTACACTATCATTAGTGTAGTCTATAAGTGGAAAATGATTTTATATATATTTGAAAAGTGATATAGTAGATCACAATCAACATGTTGTTACTCGTAATCATATCCATAATATAGATATCCAAGTCTATATTGGAATAGAATATTACTACTACAGCTACAACATCTACCTTCCATCTACTACATCTACTACATGCAATCTTTGTTAAAAACCTTTAAAACCAACCAGTTATTTATTTACTTCAATATATTTCTAAACATTTGATTAAACAAATAATTTGTTTTGAATAAAAAAACAATTGTCTAGTGTATGACAAATTGTGGTGGCAATAACATAACTATTGTACCATTTAGTAATAGGCTTTGGAATGCTTTGGAATATGTTGTGGTTTAAATGAGTAGAAAAACTATCAATACACAACCCATGATGCAGCTTCAGCTGATGTCCGTGAGCGACAGAAATCTCTCCGATCAAGAGTGGACTCCGGTAAATGACACAACTAGAACGATGTAGCAGCAAACGAGGTGGCTTAAATCCAAATCCCTAGCAACAAACGAGTGCAGCAGGCAGCAGCAGAGGGTGGGCGATAAACCGGCCCCAGCCTGGTCAAGTAAGCCTTCATCCCCCTCTTTAGAAAGCAATAAATTTCCATCCCTGCGTTCATTTCGTAGAGCACCTCGCTGCGGCTCTCTGTCGAAGGGAGGGTGGGAGGGAAGGGCACAAGCTCTCTGTGCGTTGAAGTGGGGGGGGGGGGTCACTCTTACAAACCTTCGTCGAGTATTGAATTGATTCGGATCCGCCTCCAGCCGGCGAGGTTGGCGAGAGTGGGAATTAGTGATGGCGCTCATGCAGCGGAGGGCGCGCGTGAACCTGCAGGAGTTCAAGGCGAGGTTGGTGAAGATCCTGGGCCCGGCCAAGGAGAGTCTGTACTGCAACCTGCTCTCCAGGTTTCTGAGTTTGCGGCTGTCAAAGGAGGAGCTTGACAGATTGGTGCTGTCCACCATTGGCAAGGAGAATGTGGTTCTGCACAACAGCTTCGTGCGGGCAATCTTCAACAATGCTACGTGCGGCGAGGCCCCCCCGCCCCCCGCATCCCTGCCCGACATCTCCAAACCCTTGAAAGGTGCGTTGTTGTTGTTCTGCCGCTCGGGAGGGAAGTGCTGGATGGTAGTGCCTGGCGATTGGCGATGATGGGTTTTGGGGATTGAATCGCGGGGTAGGCTTGGTATGTGTGTGGGTGAGTGGTCTGGGTCGGCGCTTTGATCGTTGTGCATATGTGTGATATGCGGGGCAGCCGTGTTCCGCAGCGCTCAGGATGTCTGCCGGGGGGGGGGGGATCTTGCAGTGGCGAGTTAGGAAAAAGGGTTTTGGTGGCAGGGCAGTATCATTTCCCCCCCTCCCCCCGCTTCGCGTGCGTGAGTTCACGATGGCGAGAGATGTTTGGTGGGTTAGATTTGCGAGAGCGGGTGTGGTTGGGGAGTGCGCAACACGCACATCTCGGCACGGCAATGGTAGCCGTTGGTCGGGGACGATGAGTAACGAAGTTGCAGCATCGGTGCAGGTGTTCGGCGGAAAGCTACGACGTCCTCGGGAGGAGTGGACGAGGGGCCGACTTCGGCAGCAGCAGCAGGAGCGCAGTTGCAAGGCGGTCGATCGAACGGAGATGGATTTGCGGGTTCGTCTCGAAAGGGTCGGTCCGGCATCCGCGACAGGAAGGGTGCAGAGAGGCCGAGTCCGTTGGGGAGCAGCAGGGCGGATACGTCGACGGCCATGGATGACGATGTGGCGAGGATGGTGGAGAACGGGCATGGTGGCGGACCAGACTTGCTGCGGCCGGTGCAATGTTCACAGTATGGGGCGGAACAGCCGGAGACATGGCAGGGTTCGCATCCTGCAAAAAGAGCCCGGTACGAGGAAGACGGTGAATCGGAAGGGGAGGAGGCAGGCGGAGACGCGGAGGCGGAAGAGGAGGACGAGGATGTGGGCACGATGTGGCTGACGAGGTCGAACGTGAGCGTTCCGCTGGGAATTCCGTTCTGCAGGCCCAGTGCAGGGGGGGCTCGCATGGCGGCTGCGGCAGCAATGCCTCCAGGGTTGGTGACGCTGTCGAAACTGGGATATGGGGTGGACGACGACGACGGTTGCAGCGACAGCATGCTGCCGTCGACGGAGAGCATCCGGCAGCGCGTGCAGATGGGGGGTTGTTTGGAGAGCGGGTTGGAAAGCTGCGACGCAAGCAGCGCGGAGGTGATCAGGTTGGGGCTGGAAACGCACCTGCTGAGAATAATAAAGTACGTGGTGGAGCTGAATCGGGCGAAGCGGGGAAGCCACAGAGAGGGTTCGGGGAAGGAGAACGGCAATGGGAGTTGGTGGGGTCACATGGAAAAGGCAGGAAGCCAAGAAAGGGGTGGGAACGAGTGGAATCATCATGTGACGACGGGTAGAGAGAGGGGGTTGGGAGGAGAGGAGCAGGAGCAGGAGCGGGCGACGGTATCAGCGCTGGACTTTTACGTGGCTATGGATCTGGATCGTTCGAAGCTGGGGATGAATTGGTCGATGCTGTTGGAGAAGGCGCTGCTTCGAGTGGTGTGGGAGCAATAGCAGGAGAAGGGCGGGTGGATGTTATGTACTTTATGAGGTTGGAGTAGAGGTCATACTTGGTGCACGAGAGGTTGGGGTAGACCCAGCGGAAGGAGACGAGACCCGTTGGTGAGATGGGCAAGAGATGGGTAGAGCGGAATTTTGGCATGGGCGATGACAGCGAAGCATGTGCAGTGGTGGACGGGGGGTTTTTGTATGAGATGGAGTTTTGTGGAGAGGGAGTGGTGTAAAGGATAGGCTGTCAGTCGCGGCAAACTCCTTGTAGAGACGAGGTTCTTTACGTTTTTTAGTATTTCTAATTTTTTAGGTTTATATTTTATGTTTCAAATTTGTTTTTATTGATTTTAGCTTTTCAGACGAATTCGAATTGTTGCTAATAAATGGCTTTTATCTGAAGCTATTGTTCATTTATTTCGATTGAATCGAACGGAGATGCTGTTTTGTTCTTGTCTTGCTACTTTATCTTCGTTCATGTTCTGCTCCTTTGGTCTATTTTTTGAGTATTATGTTGTTGTGTTGGAGTATTACTATTATCTTTGCAGCCCTTTACTTGTCGGTTTCACTCTTTTGTTCTTGTGCTTGGTGGGTATGTGAAAGCCTTTGAGTGTGTCGGAACGTTTTCATGGAGAGGTAGAGTATAATGGAACGATTGGTAGGGAAGGGAACTGACGTGAACGTTGTTTGTTACACTAGGTATGATTGGCTCTTTTTGATGTTTATTTGCCATGAGGTTGACAATCGATCTGATTATGCGTAGTGGTCTGAGACATTCTGATTGGATTGAGCGTGCCTTACGAATACTTATGCTGCCATTGTTCGTTGTGTTTCGTTGTGACAGTTCTTAGTATCCCAACTTGACGGGTTAGGACCTTGGATAGTACATTGATTGAACTCTTTTTCAGTGCTTAATGTGATGGACATCTTTGAATTGTTTTTCTAGTGCTTCATAGTTTGAGGTTTTTAAGAATCTTGCTTGGAGTTGAATCATGGCTCTTATTGTTAGTTGCACAAGCATTTATTTACCAATTAAAGGTATGTTTTATATGGAATTATTTCACTGAAACCTCTCAGGAGTGGGCCTTTTGCTGGTTTCGGCTTGATACTGTCAGGTTGAGATCTCAGGAGCGAAAATAATCAATTACAGTTTCCACCCGACTGTAGAATCACTTTCACCCCTCTGGCTACGTCGGCAACAAGCTTGACTGTTAAACTTGTATTATAATATTACTGTGGTACTATATTACGGTGGTGGCGAGAGTTTGTCTTTTTTGTGTCAACCTGCACGACTGGATAAAGGGATGAAAATGCTTGTCTAATTTTATTCTTGTGATTATTTGGATTGTTCTTGTACACTTGCACGGTATGTCAGTTTCATCTCAAGCTTAAGGAAATAGGTGTGTCCTGAGTGGCCCTGGTTGAATTATAACTTAGCTTTTGTTTTGATCGCCACTGTGCTTTCATTTGTCCTGCACCCAATCCTAAGATGATGGTGTGGCGAATAAACATGAATTGATCAGAAGTTGTGTAGGTTTCTTCATTGTCAAGACCTTAAAGAATGTACTAGCTGAGTTCCTGCGATTCAACACCACCCTCCGTGAGAGTTGAACGGTTTGGGATATGTCACTGGGATGATGTAGGATGCCATGTTAACCTCTGCACAAATCTGGACAGTCCATAATCAACGTGTTGTCTCGGTATACAGAGTCACTTGCACATCGCAATCTAATTTTCATATCAATGAGCGGTGAAGCAACAACTTGTTTCAGAGCAGCTCAGCACACAACCGGGATATCACAGAATAACGAAGGAGGAGGGTCTATTTATTTATTGACAATACTGATACATCCAAAGACATCCACTACGTGTGCAGCACTGACACGTTGCTTAGAGTGTTCTTAGCAGAAGCTGAGCACTACGAATTCCCTCAACCGTGGACCTGGCCTTTCACACCTTTATTACGTTTCCTACAGAAATCACACATATAAACAAAACATTCAAAACAAGACATTCCGTCACAGCCTACTTGCCAACGTTGAAGACCATCCAGTAACCCCGAAGAGTTACAAGCAGAAACCTCCAGAAACAGCCGCCCTGGAATCCAACAAAAGAATCCCTTGTCACTAATGCTCAATATGGTGGGGGAGGGCATGGCTTCTTCTTGTCACCGTGATGTTTGGGAGGATAGTTGTGATGATCATCGTGTTTCGGAGGCTTGTTGTGGTGGTCGTCGTCATGTTTCGGAGGCTTGTTGTAGTGGTCGTCGTCGTGCTTCGGGGGATTTTTGTGGTGGTCGTCGTCGTGTTTTGGTGGAGGGCACGGCTTCTTCTTGTGATGATCGTCATCGTGGTGTTTGGGAGGATGCTTGTAATCGTGATCATCATGGCCGGGAGGATTCTTCTTGTGATGGGGAGGAGGAGAGTATGTGTAAGGCGGGGACTTCTCCCACTCCCACTTCTCCCCAGTTTCCATGAGCACTCGCCCAGCTTCCACTGATATCTCGACGCTGACCAGGAGGGCAGCAGCAACCATAGCTACTACTATGGCCACCTTATGTCCTTTCATGATCACCATTGCTGAAGAGCCAACTCTTCACTCTCAATGCTCACAATCCTGCAGGGAGTTCTGATTAACAGCATTAGCGACGATGATGAAATTTCTTGCATAATTTAAGTTCAGTAGAAGTCATCCAGCTCAATTTATCTAGCTCTAAATTCGAAGAGCTGTGATATCATCCCCAAACCTAGTTTAGATCATTGAACTAGCAATTTAATATGCAAGGCTTGAGGAGCCAAGCAGCGAAGCGACACATACAGAATTATAGAATGGAGTGAATCGCTAGCACTATAATATTGCAGTGAACTTAATGAGCAGACGATGCAAACCCACGGACTGTCCGATAATAAATAAACTGGTTCTACTACTGTAGATACCCAAGAAACAGCAGTTGAGAGTATGCCAAGAAGTGCTCAGTATTCACAAGCTTTGGCATCAATGCAGCTCAGTTTTGTAGGCACATGAGACACCCGCTTCATAGAGAATGCTTGAGTAATACAATCAAAATGGGAAATGCAGGCGGAGAGAAGAGAGATAGACCTGATGTGAAGCTCGAGACACAACGATCTAACGATGTAGAGCAACTTCCAAGTGAAGTCAGATGTATTGAGTGAGGATCGGAATGGGGTTTATGTAGGGGATTCGGACGAACTAGATGACGAGATCAGCCGCCAGTTCGGGAAACCTCATTTTAATGTACAGTTCTCAAACTCAACCCATCTCCCAATGCTGTTTATTTATTTACTGATCAACCGTCAGTCTCATGCACAAGCTGCTGTAGGGACACGTTGTCGTCTCTGATCGGTGCAGAGAAAAACTTTGCATTCATCATTGATTCAAGTCAGTACAAACTCGTAATATACGAAGCTGCGTTAAATATGGTTTGCACGCGTGAAATCATGAATTTCGATTTGCATCTCTACTTCCTGGCTCTTAGCATTATTCTTGGCAAGCTTGATGCGAAAACATATACCCAAGATACCACGATCGATTGCGGAGGTGTTCACCGCAATTGTTATCAAAGTTGCATACTTTGAAGTTGAAATCGGAAACAGCTACAGCGTCTCAAATATTACATTGAAGCAGCTTAATAGAAGTGTCCATCGCCACTTTGTATCTAGATCCGGATGGGTATATCGTGTTCACAGCAAGGGAGAAATAGAATGTTGTTGATCGATCACCATCAATTTCAACCATTCTTAGTCAAGCTACGACTTCTCCTGTCAGTTTTTTACTTCTTTTTTTCCATCAGATACTGAAAAAGCTCTGTCAGCGCTGTTGACCAGATAAGGAGCCTTTTAAGCATTGAGGCTTGTGCACAATTATAGTATTAGATTTCGTATGTCACCTGAAGGCAAAAAGAAACTGCAGGTATAGTACACATTGGGTGCACAGGTCAACACAAATTTTATTGCTGTCTTAGCATCGAGTGCATGCTGTCAGCCTATTGCAAAGATCCTTCGACGAAAACGGATATTATTTAAGTAAACCTACTGGCGAACCGGCTATGGAAAACTGCTGCCTACACAGGAGTTGGCGAGTAAGCCTTCACAGCAAACAATCCAGCAGGCGTAATGCAAACAGGCTCACTGACAAACGTGTTGTGCCTTAATCCACGAGATGAAACTTGAGGTTCTGTCATGTACAAGGAAAGCGTGGCCAACGCTGCCCGATGGCATCTCCAAGTCGATGCTTGAACCTCAGGCACAAGGCAGCACGAGAGAGCACATGTTGCGTCTACACATGTCGTGATCACACACGACTTTCAGAGCATGTAGACCCAATCGGAATGGCTCAGACTTGGACTTTGCGGCCCGAGAGGCGCTGGAAGTGTGAGACTGGAAGCACTTTGAGCATGAATAAAACTACGAGTTGAAGAAGAAGACGATGACAGTCGACATGTGTTTTACTTGTTGAATGTTGGCAAACATCACTCTCATCTTGCATCCTGCTAGAAAGCACTGCTCTGCTAGTGCCCCCAAGTGAAAAATATTGCACTTGCACCCTCGGCACAACACTTGAAGCCTTCAACTGTGTACCTCGGATGCTTCAAATCTGATTTGCATCTGTCTTGTCTAATGCGCTTTGCAACTGGGTTTGTGGGCCTTATCTCCGTGAGGAAACTGAGCTCAAGTGTGAGGAAGTATGCAGTGAAACGCAAACATGAAGAAAAGAGATCAACGATAAATGAAGAAAAGAGATAAACGATCTGTGTATCTGTATCCGTTGGAATCGATTTCTGAGCATGACCTGTGTCTACCTCTTTTGCAATCCCTTCTGAATAACTCCCCTTTTATTTATATTTGTTCTTCTGAGCAATGTGAAACTCCTGTATCGTCATATTTGAACATCCTTTCCATGAATTTTCAGTGGCTTCCTGAGAGCAATATTTTTTGAGAGCTTTCTGTGATATACATACATACATACATGCATATATACATATGTTTAATAGTATTGAGCCATCAATATTGGTGTAACCTTACATAATAATCACCAATTTTCAAACTTAAAAAAAAGACCAAATAAAAATTTATAAAAATTGTTGCAATTTAATAATTTAAGATCATATTTATAATATTTTTTTCAAAAACTTAAATTTAAAATTTTAACTCTCCATGTGTCTATGAAACCTATAAATATAATTGATACTTATGATTACATAAATAAAAAGAATTAGGGAGAAATAAATAAAACTAAAAAAACTTAATAACATCTTGTGAAGAAGTTTCATAGATACAAATTTGACTTTATATGTGTTTGTAAGAGATTACTAGGTTGAAAATATGGCCCATTGTCATGAATATACATATTTACTCTAATAGTTACCTTAATAATATGAATAGATAGAAGTAAGTAAAAATAGATTAATTTGATAATATCTTGAAAAGCTTCTTAAAAGCTTCATAGACATAGTTTCACCTTTATATGTATTTATAGGTGATTAGAAGGTTAGAAACTTGGCCAACAAGTTAGCCACATGTTGCACGTGTTAGAAGCTTGTGATACAAGCTTACGATATGGTGCACATATAGAAGAACTGTCTTGCAAGTTAAGACACATACCTCACAAATTGGACACGTGTTGGAGATATCATAGAATATTGTTAGGTAGCTCTTAGGTAGATAATATATATAAAGGCAAGAGTGAAGCCTTCTTCATTCTTATAAAATCTTTTTATGCTTTTGATCTAATTTCAAGGGTCTCTAGTTTTTTTTCTCTTTTTGCAATAGTCATTCTAGTTTCTTCTTAAATTTATATACATACTTATTTAATTTTGTTATCTCCCTTGGATTCATATCTTATTTATTTATGTATCTTCTTTGAATTCTTTTATTAAAAATATTGACAAGATGATATTTATAATATTAAAGCTTTGCCTTTTCTTGATTAAAAATGGATAACCTCTTTTTCTTGATAAGAGATAAGTATATTAGAAGTTACAAATTATTCTCTTCTAAATTGATATTATTTTTAGGACTTTTTTATTCTCAAGTCATATCTTTTATTTGACTTGAGTAATATTAGACATCTTTTTTTTTAATGTTATCATGATAGAAAAAGAGATAAGAAAAAAATAAAAATATATAAAATAAACTAATCCCAAATTTGGAAGAACTTACTTATTTATAGAGATTCGGATTGATCCAAACTTTGCTCTATCTCTCATTTTTTAATTTTTTTTCATGTATTTGGATGAAGCTCTAAATTTTGCAAACAACACATCTATTTTTTTTTCATTTTTTCCTATCTAAGTGTATTTTTTGGAAGACATCATGGTGAAGTGGATAATTCCTTGTGATTGTAGTGGTGCAAGTCAAGACAATAGACTATAGATCAATTGTAGCATAGTTTTCATTCAATCAATGGTATTATTGTTGATAAATATAATACAGTTGATTTACAATAAATTTTTTTGCATTAGTTATAGTAGAGCTATAATCTATATTGTGTGCGCTACTCCGTTGATGGCAGTTGTGCTTATAGGTGGCTTTTTATGCAACAGTGTTACTTGAAAAGTAGTGATTAAGTTACTGTAGTGTAGCATTTACTATTTACTAGAAGTACAATGTATTTAGTGGCTTGATTTTGGTTGAAAGTACAAGATGTCAATTTTTTAAAGATAACATTGGAGGTATTGAAGACTCTACATTTGTGTCTTTTTTATTCTTATTCTTATATGGTGTTGTTGTTTATTTGATTGATTATGTGAACATCAAACAAATACAATGGTCATGTTGTTTTCTCTAGCGATTGCGTTATAGTGATGGTGTTGTGATGTATTGCTATAGATCTTTAATTTCTTAGGTATGGATGGCATAATAACTCCATTTGATGTTAAAGGGGTATTTGAATGACAAGTTCTCATAGCTAAAGGATTCTTGTCAATAAAGAGGTGACTATGTATCATCAATGATATAGTAGAGTATTATTCTATTATGCTCAAATTTTTATTATTCCTCTTTCATGACTCCTTACCAATTGTAAATTCTTACTAAAAGAACTATACATGCTTCAATAGCTAGAAACTATATCCAATGAAGTATTTAATGTTAATTGGTGATAATATCCTCTATCTTATTTTTAGTGATTGAGACTTTGAAACAGAAGTATTTAAGGTGTAGTTGCTACACTACTAATATGCTAATGAGCCAAAGTACCATTTTAGTCTATATTTTATAGCTTGGTCTAAATCCTTTATCATGATTGTATTAGAAATGTTAAATCAAATAGCCAATACTTAAGTTAATAATGCATAGTATCTAGATCCAAATTAATTGAAAAAAAGTAGCATAATAGAAAGAAAAAAAAATTGGTGGTTGTTAATCAATTAGAATTAGATTGAATAGAATTGTTAATAATATTGTCATAATTGAAGGATCTAGCAAAGGCATTCACCAAGTTAAGTGCAGTTGTATATACTTTTAAGTAGAAGAACTATCCATTGGAGATATGCAACCGTTGTATGCTAGCTGTAGTAGTTGATGGTCCTTGTGCAATATTGGATTAAAGATTTGAGATTGATTAAGACTAGAGGCATCCCTTAGTCATTGGTTGATTTACCATCAGCCTCTATATGTTGTAAGAAATTTGGAACAATATACTTATGAAACAATTAATTATTTTCAATTGTTATGATCAATTGAATTTAAATTATGGATGAATTTAGAATTTGAATAAGTGAAATTTGATAGATGAAGACATGTAAGAGTGGATGAATTTTTATTTATGGATGAAAATTTATTTACAAATGAAGAGTTTTTTTTTGATGAATTTTAATTTTGGATGACTTTTATTAATAGAAGATAGAAAATAAAATAAAAATTTAATTAAAATAAAATAAAATGACATAAAAAATTCTCTTTTAAAGTAAGAATTCTTGATAGTTATTTAAAGTAGCTTATATTGTTAGATAGATTGTATAAGTATAAATTAAATTAGTTAAAAGATTTAAGTTCTTTAGTAAGAAATAAGAAAAAAAATTATTAAATTTTTTTATAAATTAATTGGTAGTTGTGAGCTAAAATAAACTACTTAGTAGAAGGATTTATTTAGCTTATAATTAAAGAATTAATAGAATTATTAGATATAAATCAAATATTAATAAAAAATATTAGATTAATTAGATAATTAAATTATTATGAATTAGAATAGACTTCCAACTAATGGAGGCTTATTTTAGTTCACAAGGTTAATACTTG